GAACTGTCAAATACGCAAGTATATTATCGTATTATAAATACGTTTCGTAAATTTGAAGTGCAAATTTCTATCAGTAAACGATACATGGTGAAATATAGTGCATAAAACATGTAACGTTTAAATGCAATGAATACAACAGAAAGAAAAGCATTCTGTGAACGTTATTCTCTATAGCTTTTCAACTCAAAACTGTCCGACGAAGTATCGTGCAACCAGAGCGCTTTTTTAGCATTGAAATATTTGATCATGAACGGTCAATTAAATCTAATTAATCTTGACGATTTTGTTTTCAAATTTTAGGGAAACAAATATGCACTCGTAGTTTCTTCATTAGGAATTGAATAAGCTGCACAAAAGTATGGAACTTGTACAAAGCGCATAGAATGTTGAATTTTCTTGAAAAATTGTTGTGAGATTATTTATTCGGGTTCGTTAAAAAATAGTATCGTTTAAATCAAATTACTGAATACTGAATAAATTTAAATCATTTGTATAAGTAGTAGATTGTCCTTAAACGCGCATTTCTAACTTTCAGTCTCTGAAACGTTTCGGTTATCTATTATTATCAATAAATGTAATGAATTAGTATTTTATAGATATTTAGTGCAACGGTTTCGATGTCATCAGCAAATAACACGGGACGTTTTCCGAAATTTCGTTCACGATTAAGAAGCACAACGTGCTTAATGTAAATCTGAATTATTCCCTCACTAAATTTCAAATGACTAGTTTATTTTATTCGTGTGATTAAATTGCCAATTATTTTAAAGGGTTTGTATCAAAAACTTCAGCAACTTTATAGCAAAATGGGAGCACTGCCGCTAGTGCGCATTTTACAGCTTAAAAGATCTACGTTGGCTTAGAGACTGACATGCGATGACAGGTTTCCACTGGTATTTTTACGTTTGAACGGATTCTTTGTGTATTTTTTACGTTACAAAACGAGATCAGTTTTCTCTCCGAAAATAATAAAACGCACATGACGTAGTACGCATCATTTATTATTCTTTCTGTTCAAAAGTGAAATGTTTACGTTGTTTCAACACGGCCGTGAGAAGTGTAAGTAAATAAACATTAGCTTTTGCTACCTTCAAATAGCCCGTGCATACCGACATCAATAACCCCGGAATATGCCCTGTGGCGAAAAAGGATGCGTAATATTGAAATTCGCTGTTTCAGTCTGTTTTTATAGTTGTAAATCAAATTGAACATTTAATTTACAGAGCAAAATACATTCACATAAAATTACTATTATTGTCTTTCAGCTTTCTACAATTTGGCAGGCCTTACGTAACTACGTGAAGAGTAACTTAAAAACGATGTTACGAATGTGGCAATGTGGTAATATCGCTGTCAAAATACCACAAAACCTATTGTTTATTCTTGAAATTAATATAGAGTAGGTTCTTCTTATTCTCTTATCAGTATGTAATCCCCTAATATCGTGACTCTGGCAACGCAGACAGGCAAATATCCGACATATACTTTTCTTTCCGGTGGGATCCAAATCACTGAAAGATGTTTCCGAAGATGCAGTGATATAGCTTCTGTCATTTCTAATACATTCACGTGAGGAAACACAGTCTTACTCATGATTTGACATTCCCTATCTTTGCATGGCTCACTTACCCCCGCAGATGTCTGGCAACTGCGTACTCCAGAACGTATGATACGAAACGTTTATGTTAGGGTTTTCTGTACTGGAGCGTTGCGCTAACGCACGGTAGGTAACGCGCGTCGTGGAATAACTGTATCTTATGCGAAACGACACACGAGCGATTTGACCGTTCCGCATAAGATAAATGTTATTTTACGGCACGCGTTCCTTATCGCGCGACAACTTAACGCTCATGTGACACAGCCTCATTAGGCGTCCCTAGCCAAAATCAAGAGGGGGGATCCTCATTTCTAGACCCCTGTGGGCCCCTTTTCAATAAACGTTTTATTAAAATATTACTTATTTGACTGGAAATTATGTATAACTACGCCAAGGACAATTAAATTATAACTTTAATGAAGCAATTAATAAATACAACAGATTTTAGTTTGGACAAATTGCAAAGTTGCCAGATTCTTTAGAGAGCCCAAGAGTCGCGTTTTCAATTCCGCAAATTGTGAGCTTGAACATGGGAAAGAGGAGGAGCAAATCTTATTTGCGGAAATATTTTTTTAGTAAGGCTGAAAAGCCCCTTGGCCATTTTCAGGGGGTCATGGTGCCCCTGTGCGTATGCCTACGTCTAAGTATTTATTAGCGTGTGCCTTCGTCTAAGTATTTATTGTCTAAAATCTGCGATTTCTACATTGTAACAGCATGTACTGCGGTTTTACCACTCCCTGATTGGAAATATGAAAATTACTCACTACAGCCTACAGAAACGAACCAGGTAATGTTGAACTTCTGGCCGGGAGAAAACATTCCACATTCATAAAAAAATTCTTTCGCGTTCAGTTCGCGACAGGAACTTCTTTCGAAAACTGCGATCAGCATTATGTGGCGGTGTACAGGATTGGTAACGCGGTGAATTTTCTAATCCAACTAAGAGACAAATATTTGTAATAATTCATCAATTTATTTTGCAACTTTTGTCACTTTTGTTTGCGTCTAGACGCGCATGCTGATCTTAACTCTCCATAATGACTACTGGAAAATATATTGCTGACATTTCTTTTATTAGAGAAACAATTTTTTTATTTGTTCACGAAATAACATGCTCCTGAAGACCAAATGCAAGATCTCGATAAGTTAAAAATAAAACATGAAAGTTTAATAAACCAAGAAAAATGAATACAGAACATTAATCGTTTTTCTAAATTTGTTTTAAAATAATTTATTAATGTAAGATACAACAAAAAGTTAACAGAGTTGGACTGTCGGTGATAAAAACGGAATCATAATGAATTTAATTTTAATAACTCTTTCTATCAGCTTTACGAATTTTCAACTGCCTATTTCAATCTGGTGTGCGATTTTTCCCGTTTCCGCCGCAATATTGAAGTAAATACTATCTACACACCTTCCGGGTAACGTCGACAACATCGTTGTCGGACCATTGAACTATCTCTCAAATAAAATATTGACATTTTCTGAAGTACGTCATTTTCTCTATCCGTTGTGATAAATACCAGGAAAGCACCCAACTATGCACAAATCATTTGTGTAGCATGGGGTATTTGAATGATATCGCAGGACATGTATCCGTCTATCATACCATCAGAATTACAACGTAGAAGCTAGGAAAGGAAATGAGCTTGAATTTCTTGGTGCGTGGCCTTCGAGCGATACGAGAAACACCTACTTCCCGCCCCCACACGTTCTTCGTCTTTTGTGGGAACCTCCCGTTCTCCGTTCCCACATTGATCCTGCATTTCTTGCAATGTTACCCGTTTGTTGCAACGAAACCCGCCCTTTGGTTCGTTAAACGCACTGTTGATGTATGAAATGCTCTATAAACGTAATACAATACTTTGCCTTTGGCCAATTTTCAGACATTTCAATCATTCACTTCATATGATTTCTTTCATATTAAATTTTTATTACAAATAATGCTTTTTTCAAACAATTATTTGTAATAATTTAATACGAAAGATAGCATATAAATTGAACGATTTAATTGCTTTTGAAAATAGCCGAGTGACAACGAACATATTGTATCAAGATAAATAAACAGAGAGATAAAAAATAAGTTTTGCGTTTCCTGGAAAGTCCCTCTTCCATGATACCTCCGTAAGTCCGTGACTTCCGCAGCTTCTTCGTAATGCTGTTAATTCTGAAAATTTTGAGTGGCGGATGTGGTGGTGTACCATGATAACTCCAATGTAATGCCAACTTACGTGGACCTTTAGGAATTTCTAACGAACCATTAACAGTACAGTTAAAAATATAACCTAAAAGATTTAAAGAGTACACAATTAATAGGATCATCAATGGAAAGCATTACTATCTTATATCCCGCCCATAATATCAATTTCAGATTTAACAATCTCCAATATTTATGTAAGTAGATGGAAACTGATTATCACAAGATTAAGAATCGGCCACTCTTCACTATGCCCCTGCCATCTAATGAAGGAATCTAATTCCTGACCGAAATGTGGAGAACCTTATTTACCAGTCATTTTATCCTACATTGCTCAAATTTCTAAAATAAATGAAAAATTGTTCATATTAAAACAATATGAATACTTTAATTCAGTTGAAGATAAATATTTTTTAAAAGGTTTAAAAAAATACTTGTTACCATAAATTAATTTAAATTGTGAAACATTAAACATTGTAATTAATTATTTCTTTGTTTGTGTGTGTTGTATCGAATATTTAAAATGGTTCTAATGCTTAAAAATAATAATGGTGGTTATTTGTTTCTAAAGCGACCTAATATAAATAAATTAAATATTAAAAATTTAAGAAAGGGACAGATTCATAATGTCATACGTATGACAAACACAGTCGTACAATTCCCTATCACCGCAACTGCTACGTTGGTAAGCTTGGAAAAACAAACCGAAACTGGCCAGCAAGAAACGCGTGGAAAATTGTAATGAAATATCAGCTTCTCTCTCGTACGAAGAGAAGCATTAAAATACTTTATAACTTTGTAATATTAATATACTTACTTAATCGAATACATATTTGGTGTACTGTACTTAGTTTCCAAGCAGCATTCTCAGAAATAGGGTAAAGAAAGGAGGAGCGGTAAGATATGCATGACAATGTAAACGGACGGTAAGAATGTATTTCAATAACGAGCTTTGAATTCATCAATTTTAAATTATTTTTAACGCATTTAAAAGCTTAATTTAGGTTTTTTTAATTCCCAGGAAATCTAGCAGGGCAAATTTAGCTCTGGTGGAAAGCTTGCCTCAAGAAACCACAGAAAAATTCACTCATGAGAAATGTTTGAATTTGTGAAATAGTGAACAAATAATTTCTACAAGAATATTTTAGTGAAATTGTCGACATATGTAAACCCAATCCAAGCAATCTTTGAATATTTACTTACAACTTAGAAGTTCCATCGTCTTGTAAACAATTCGTGAGGATCGTGCTTGCAAAAAATACCTCTGTAAAAGCAAAAGAAGGCAAACATGAATATTGTAAGTAAACATACAGTTTTCTGAATTTGACTAAGACAAGAGCTGGGAGAAGAAATAGTGTAGTTTTCAGCATTACCGTTTGAAGAAATGAAATAAATAATGTACTCTCTAGAGTCAGGAAGTATCGAAAAACACTGAACTTCCTCCTAGTGCATTTAATATGTTCGAATGACCGCAGCATTTTATTTACACTTTTAAAAACATCCAACTTGTGCAGTGATCACTAAAGTACATTTGTCGATATTATACCAGCGACAGGATAATATAATTTCATTAAACATGCGAGGGACTATAAAAATATTTAGCAATATATTGCTGCAATATACTGCTGTCGGTACGTGTCGCTTTACACGCTGAATTAAATGAAATTCTTGTGACAGGCAAAATTATGAGCGCTGAAGTACGTAGTTTCCAGTGCGCACCAACAAACGGGCTGCGTACCGAACACTATCTTTACTTCGTTCTTACCCCCTCTTCTCCCATTACTACCACACACACACACGCACGCGCACGCACACACGCGCACGCACACACGCGCACGCACACACGCGCACGCACACACGCGCACGCACACACTCGCGCGCACACACTCGCGCGCACGCACGCACACAACTCTGAGCTTGCTGAGGCTGTGCCCCGCTAAGGGAGGTATGTACCGAGAGTATGCATAGAGGGAAAATCCCACAAATCGACATGTAGATTAACCTCCGAAATCACGATTCAACGGGTAAGGAACTCTTCCTTCTCCCGCGATATACCACACACTACACTTAAGGATCTAATAACCGTAAGTAATTGGCGCGCCTGGAAATCCTTATATACTATTCGAATAATTTTCATCCGTTCATCATTCACGGTTAGACTCCTTGCCGATCACCAACCAAGACAAGTGAAGTCTCGCTCGTCGCGACGCGGTCTCCCAGTGGGGAACTGATAATTTATTTTGGGGTCCATCCAGAAGATTCTAAGAAATTTCATCAACAATGTGTGTTTCTGCGTTGCAATCTAGCGGAAGCCGCGCGAATCACGAACCTAAGTCCCTTGGCCCCGGTTGTGATAACAGCTAAATGTGATCCCAACGAGTCTGTGCACGGCACCCAGGTGATGAATGATAGGTTGCTAGAGATTGCATCGCCTGGACGCCGCAAGCGTGCGGTGTAGGGCTTGGATCACTCGGCGGAAAACGTATATCGTCAGCGTTGCCACCCTGGAGGATAATTATCGTTTTATTGAATAATTATGTTAAATGTAGCACATACTTTAGTTGTAACGGAATAGTTCCTCTTGGTGAGATAATTTCAACTAAAAAAAATATTGTAATATAAATCTACAATAATGGAACAGTATGTTGAAAAATAGGAGCATGCAAATCGGCAAACTTTCTTTAAAAAGGCGCCGAATAATGCACTGAAAGAGTGAACCCTTTAGAACTACCCTTCTGGAAGCGATCGTATTAGGTTCTCCAATACCGCATTCTATGATGAGTAGAGAATGTAGCTCGAAAAAAGATCATCCGACAAGAAGAGTTGCGAACACATATGTTTTTAAATACTTTTATTATTTTATTTTAATTCTTAAAATATGAGTTTTCACTTTCTACTTCCGAGGATAAAAGAACCCGACAACTGTATGTTTAAAGCTCATTTGAATTTAGATCTTATATAGAAGACATTTTGTAATATTTGAGAATATTTTTAAAACAGTGTAATTGGCCGGTGACGCCACATTCAGAAAGTTGCAAGTACTTTAACTCAGGGGTTGAGAGGCAATTCACAAAATAAAAACATCGAACTGCCCCTATTGAACACTGATCTCTGGCCGCCATCAGTGAGGATCTTCCGAGGGAAGACGCTTTCCGAGCCTTGGAGTGGTCGGCGCGGAATTGCCGTCTGGGAAAAGGAGGCGCGCGTGCGCGTTACAAAAGAATTGCGCCGTTGGAGCCGCGCCTGCTGCGAACCCTGCTCGCCAGGACCTATTGCCGCGTCAGTCACTCGGACCCCCAAAGGTCGGGAGGCGCGCGCTGCTTCCGACGGGTGAGAGAGTGGCGGCGTAGCTTGACAGCGAAGATCGCGACGCAAGATTTCTTTCCGGTGAATAAGAAATTAAACAATTATTTCCACGTTCAAATGACGTAATACATAATGTTATATTATTATTATTTTAATAATAGATAATAACAATGTTAATAATATTAATAATAATATTAACAATAATAAATAACAATAACGACAGCAATGTCGAAAAGAATTATAACAATGTCTACAACAAATTGAGAGTCAAGTGGATAGTTGGTTTTGTTAGTTAAATCTTAAATGTAAGTTAGTAAACACTCTTCGCGTACTCGCACTAAACATCAATAACACTGAAGTAAATATGTTTTAAGATATGAGAGTTTGGACATCCAATATGGGGAGTAAAAATGCCGGTCAATTGTTTTAGGAACTCTGCATTTGTTCTGCTAAAATGTAATATCTTGTTCACATTCCCAAGGCATTCAAAAGACTGGAAAATGCATGGTATACGTTATTGGGAACAACCTAAATTTGTCGAAACGTATTGTCAACACTCCTACAAGTCACTGAATTTGCTTCTTATTTACTACTACTAATATATAATAATAATAATAATAATAATAATAATAATAATAATAATAATAATAATAATAATCCCAATCTGTTCATGACATATTTCGGTTGTGAAACCCTGTAAATAGTTAACGCATGTATCGTGATAGAAATGGTTTCCTTATGTAATCATAAGCAACGGGTAGAACTGTCGTAGCCGTTGTCACCGTCCATCTGTGGCTATTTCCGGAACGCTGGTCACAGGAATTTCCACTGTAATCGCGTGTTATTTTTCTCTTACGGTGACCAAAACACACGTTGCCCAAACTGCTTGAATCCTTTTCAATAATTATTGCTTTTCATAATTAATATTTTACCGTTTACCAAATATTTTAAAACAATTTTTTTTATTTTAAATTAATATATAAGAACTTTAAATATTTTACATAATTACGAAAATTCAACGTTTCAACTTCTGGTGGATGTCAAAGGTACCCTTTAAAACTGAGGACGCCATGCACATCAATTTTATACGCACCATGTGCTTCACATTCCTTCACATATATAATGATACGCGATTTCCAATGCCACATACGCTACAATTTTTTTAAAATTGTTCATTCATAAATTACGTTTATTATATTAAAAAACGAGGCCGTTACGGTTCACTGATAATAAAAACAAAACTTTGGAAAAAATTGGATTGTATTTCATTTTTCTATATTGTATTATAGACGTGGAGTTCTGGTGTGCTATGAATATTCTGAAAATGATTGACGTGAATTTATTTGAGGATAAAGAATATACATTTCGATTATTAGTGTTATATCTTGAATCCTCATTTACGACTTGTACAACATTTTGACACAATATATTTGATATTGTGCTTCATTTATATACACACTATGACCTTTGTAGAAAGTGAAATCTGGCTGGGATCAAATCAATCAATATTATACATACTGCAATATAGCCGTGGCGCAGGCAGGGGTACCAGTTTAAAACGTTTGCGTTCAAAATTTTTAAGTTGAGATAATGAGCGGTAGAACAACGAGAACTAGTCGTTATTCAACAGCAGGTACTTTCTCGTATTATTAATGTTTAAGTAATGCATATTCTGTCCTAACACTCTTGGGTGCAATCGAAAAATGCAATTATTGTAATAATAAAAATTACTAACAAAGTGAAAAAAGTGTACGTTAAGTTATTTAAAGATAAAATATTGTAATTTTGATTGCATTAAGAAACAACCCTTTAACTTCAACTTAAGATTGTAGTACAGGCAATGAAATTTGAATTAATGTTATATTATTAAGAAAACCTTGCGTTTGAAACAAAAAAGAAGCGATTTTCGATGAAATCTTGTTTGCTAATTTCAAATTATTCCGATTTCATTCAAAATTACTCAAAACTAGTCATATTTTAAATATTTCGTTTATTAAAAACTATGTATGAGTTATTTTCAATAATGTATACGTAGGATCGTGTTCCAAGAAAACTTAATTTTTAAAATTTTGAAACATTAAAAGGTATCAGAAAGTCTGACGTGAGGCAATTTTATACCAGAGTGTTACACTAATGAGCAACAAATTTAATAAAAAATTGGAGTCATTTTTGAGAAAATGATTATTTTATGTTTCAATTTTGGATTCACGTGAAGTACATCCATAAATTTAAATATCCATTTACAATTCAAGAGGCTGTATCATCAGTCAGGTCGATCGGTAAATATCAGTATTATTGTAAATTCTGTGAACAATGTTGCCGCTAGTTTTGCTCCCAGACCAAGAAATAGAAATTTTGAAAGAAATACTCTTCAGGTAAAGAGACCTCCAAAAGTATATTTCTGACAAAATCTCGACATGTATTGTTTTAGCATACGAGTGTACTAAGTATAAGAAAATGTATACTAGAATTCAATCGTAATACAAGTGAAAGATTACGTCAGGAAGATAATTAATTCTTATCATTGACAATCAATATATCTTTATGCTTTTCGACTGTGATAAAATCAGGAAAATTGACTCGTTTAGATTAATATGAAGCAATATTGAAATTTATGGGACTTAGGACCTTGGGAAGAATAAATTCACTCCGAATTCTATATTAAAGCAATATCGTTCTTCCTAGAATACGCATATGCATGAAACAAGAAAACTAATTTATTAAATAACAGAAACATAGTTATTAATATATTTGCAATTGGCGACACAATTGAATTCATTCGAATGTTGTTGTTTTTTGTTTTTTTCAAAGCAACATATCAATTTCTTCAATCTCATACTCACAATGTGGATTTAAGGTTACACTATATTGAAATATAGATAAAATAAAAAATAAGATAACACTTATAATGAATGATAGTTCGCCAGTGACTCGTGTTGGTTCCACATTTCTGATGCC